GAATCTATCAAATAATGGTAAGACGGACAGGCAACCATGACTTCAAAGTTAAACGCTATCAAAAGAGACTCAACAACAAATGCTTTAATTCGTATTATTTACTAGAATAAATTGACTTTAAGTATCGCTTATGCTAACATCCGAATGAAATTTCGGGCCCGCTATTTTTATTGTATGCTGTCCGCGACAGGTGGGGTAAGAACTGGGTCTGGACATCGGGGCACCCGGCATCTACGGCAGATAACCGGTGGGGTACACCGGGCAAGTCACTGTGGCCATTTGCTCATCAGTAAAACGAGCAGTTGAAACTAGTCTTTTCTGGTTAATGGTCCTTAACCGAGGCTTGGAGATTGAGACAGACACTCCTCTGGCGAGAATCGCAACAAAAGGGGCGCAGAGCAATCGCATCAAAGGGGACTCCAGGCGTGCCCGTCACGTGTCAGCACTGGGGACTCGCTTCTCCGGCACCAGGGCCTGAGCACCCGCAGCCAACCCCTCTCCCTCCGGCGCAGGTCTGAAAAACGTGCGGCGCCTCCGGTCTCCCTTCCCTACCGGAAGAGGGAGCTGCCGGCCCGCCGAGAAGTGGCCAGACCGCCGGGGGTCGGACACGCACCCCACCCCTCAGACCCTTTTTCGGGGAGAGAAAGAAACGCGAGGACGGTAGCCACGGCCCGAGCGGGAGGGGCTGGGGTTGGGAGGGTACCGCACCGCCGTCGGCCCGACCCAGGCCTTGCCCGCACTTGCCGTTCTGGGAGCGGATCGCCTCCCCAGTGCTGCGGTCTCCGAACACGGACAAAGGCCCCTCCATCTTCTTGGCAGGTAACACCTCGAGTCTCACTCACACTGCGGATAATTAGCGTTTCTGGGCCGGGAGGCGGCCACACCAGCGACAGCGACGGCGTGGAACGGGCCCAAGCGCCGCTGCAGGGGCTGCCGGGAACACCGCTCCCCGTGGGGCAGGGCGGGAAAGAACGAGGGGGCGGGAAGCGCAGGAAGTGAGGCGCCGGAAGAGGGCGGTTCCGCACGTTCGTTCAACTAGACAGCGAATGAGAGGGACAGCGAATGAGAGGGACGCGAAAGTAGAGGAACGGAAGTCAGGGTCTTGACCTCTAGAGGGAGGAGGCGCTCGGCTGAAGCCTCCCGCGGGGTACGGGGTGCGCGTGCGCGGCTGCACCTTCTAGAAAAGGTGGTTCCGTAAGGTGGAGCTTGGCGCGCAGCGTGACGGAGGGGCAGAGCGGGTCCTTCTCTGAAGTAGAGTTGGGGTTCTGAGCTAGTCTTGCGCTTACACAGTAATTGTTTTTCCTTAAGCGTAGGGCCTTGCTCGGAGAACCCGCGGCAAGTTGCAGGCTGTGTTCCTGAGCTCGCGTATAAGCTTGGGGGCCTGAACCTCTGCGGCACAGGGCAAAGCAAGGCTCTCCATGTACCTTCGGGAAAATGACAGCTACCGACTTTGAAGAGAAATTGCATCTTGTGTTGTTCCGTTCACTCCCAGGGCCCAACCGGGGTGCTTGTGGCTCCGACAATGGTCGGTGTAAGCTATGCGACCAAAGAGTCCAAATAAGGTAACGTGAAGTTACCGGGGTGCCTTACGCAGACCCCAGCAAAAAACTGCAAAACACATGGCACAGGCTAACGGGTCACGCCCCACCCCCAAGTGCGGTACTACGAGGTGGTTGGTCGGCTCCGGAGTCTGCGTGCACCCCAGCGTAAGCGATGATTGGAGAAGC